CCGAGTTCTAGCATTATAAGCTTGTGCTGCCATACTTGGCTTGCTTAGGTGTGCTAGGATGGTTAGAAGGGTCTTCCTATGTCTTTCCCCAGTTTCATAATACTCTGGGTCTATCATGTTTTGTTTTGTTTTTTCTCCTGTTAGGAAAGAACTGGGATGTGAGTGCTGCCCTCAGTGATTTTGAACAGCTACGCCAAGTTCATGCTGGGAACCTGTCCCCACCCTTTAGTGGAGGGAGTAGTTGCTCTAAGACCCCTGAAAAAGGGTGTTCTGATAGAGAGCCCACTCGCCCTTCTCGACCGATCCTACAGAGACAGGATGACATCATTCAAGGTATTGCTTGAACTGAGGACTAAGCTTTTGCATGTGGATTAGGAAGAGTCTTGGTGTTCCCTTGGAGATGTTTTCATTCCTTACTTTCTTCCCAGCCAAACCCAGCGGGTGCTTTGCCACCCTCTGTACAGTGAGCTGAGGCAGGTCTTGCTTGCTTTCCATCATCACTGGTCAGTACAGGACGAGGACAGCTGCCTAGCGTTAGAGCTCCTGTCCCTTGTGATCCTCACCCGCGTACCTCACGCTGTGCAGACACGTAGTACTGCACTGAAATAGCTCACTCATAGTCTTACATGGTGGGGCGTTGCAGGCACCATGTACTTAAAACAAATGAAATGATTGGGGGGCACAGTTTACATTAGTGTTTTGTTCTCTGGCATATTAAAGTATGACTCTGTAAATTTCTGATAACTATGAATACTAATAAAAGTTGTAGTAAATAATATAGATGTTGATGACACTGTCATTTTCTTTTCTATAATGGAGATCCTTTCTACATCCTCTAAGACCCTAAGGATTACTGGAGTGGTTATTTGGCTAAATCTAGCCTAATGAAAGCCCATTTCTCTTACTTGGTCTTCTTCCCACCAAAAAAATGAACCGGTTACTAAGTGATTGGTTCACACTCATGTTGAAAATGGGAGTCAAAGATAAGGTCATAGAAAAAGGAAAGTCAGGGAAACCTCAGACAAGGTTAGAAAAATTAACACACTTTTGGTACTACTGTAAGTGTCTAGAAAAATGCCATTTTGTATGTTTCCCCATTTGTATTTGGCTTAAGAAAAAATGCTATGAAGTTCAGAAGTAACTGGTTAGGTACAGTTTTTCCTTGACTGGGAACTGTCAAGAGGTAACCACCTTCGTCTGTGGAGAGCTCTCAGAGTGGGTTGCACATATTCTAAGGTGACTCCATTTCTCATTGCAGAAAAACGCCTGTCTAGGGGCATCTCCCACGCCAGTTCCAGCATTGTTTCCCTGGCCCGGTCCCATGTCTCCTCCAATGGTGGGGGTGGGGGGAGCAGTGAGCACCCCCTGGAAATGCCCATCTGTGCCTTCCAGCTTCCAGATCTCACTGTGTACAAAGAAGACTTCCGAAGCTTCATAGAGAGGGACCTCATTGAGCAGTCCATGCTGGTCGCCTTGGAACAGGCAGGTCAGTGGGTGTTTCTTCTTCAGTGATACCTCCTCGAGCCGCATACAGGGGCCAGCCTTCTTCAGTGCCTCTTTTCTAAGTATGTGATCTGATCGCTGTCAAAGATGGGAGTCAGTCAGATACGTGTGTGGGGAGGGCCAGGAATCAACATTAGACACTCTGGAAAATTCCTACTTATTAGAAGGGAAACCAGATATGTGTGTAATTGATACCCAAAAATCAATGTCTGAACAAACATGACTGATTATAATTGGCTGTGGAGCACTTGCAAACACAGGGGACCAAGACTGTAGATGATGCATCTGAAAGTCACATCTATTCATATGACTCTTTTCCCCAGATTTGTTCACTTTTACCATGGTGCTAATCTCATCATTCCAGAGACAAGCAGACAGATCTCTTAAGAGTTTGAGGCCAGTCTGGTCTACATGGTCTACACAGCAAGCTCCAGGACAGCCACAGCTACATAGTGAAACCCTATCTCAAAAAAGGAAAAAAAATCCCCGTGAGGGGCTAGAGAGGCGGCTCAGCACTTAAGGGCACTTGCTTTTCCAGAGGACAAGGTTTTGTTTCCAGTACACACATGTCAGCTCACAGCTGTCCATAACTCCAGTTCCAGGAGATCCAGTGCCCTCTTCTGACCTCTGAGGGCACCAGGCATTCATGTGGGACATAGACATCCATGCAGATAAAACACTCATACACATAACATAAATAAATAGAAAATATTTTTTTAAGTTCTAATGGAAGGAAGATTGGAAGTTGGAAGTGGGGGCATGCATGGAAAGGGAGCTTTTTTATTTTATATCCATCTGTATTAACTATAACTCTTTTTAGAAGTTAGCAAGTTACTTTGGCTAGTGAAATTATAAGCCTTTTTCCCTGTGTGTAGCCTTTTTAATTGCTCAAGAAAACAAAATTGTAGGTGCCATTTGTAAATAGTCCCCTTCTTTCTGTAAAGAGTGGATTGGCAGTTGTGAGGTGCTGTTGACAAGTGAGTCTAATTTACTGGTGTTTCATGTACTTTTTCTTTGCTTATAAATTTAAAGTTCCAGCACACAACTGCCGAGTACTGTCCCAGATGTAAACGACACAGACATAAACCTTGAGTAGTTTCTCTTCTGGTGGTGACTCAGTTAAGCTGTGCTTTGCTGCTGCTGTGTTTACCGGTCCTCCTACCAGAGTGAAGGGCACAGAGTCAAACAAAGTAGATGATGGTGTCAGCCTGGGCACTGTTGGCTTTGGTGCCAGATAATTCTTTGTTGTACACGCTGCCTCGAGCTCTGGTCTCTGTGTACTAGATGCTAGAAGTATGTACCCCCCCCCCAGTTGGACAGACAGACATCTCATCATACATTGTCTAATGATCCCATGAGACAAAACTGTCCTTCCTAAAGACCACTGATCTAACCAGTCAGACGCGACAGATTCTAACTGTGAATAAAGAAGATATAGAGAGTCACAGAGGCTGGGCTTAATGTTGTATTCCTATAATCCGAGTACTAAGGATAATAGAGTCAGATGTATCAAGGCCAGCATCAGCCACATAGTGAGTTTAAAGGTCAGTCTCAGCTACATGAGACCATGTTTCAAAATAATAATAACAACAACAACAACAATAACAATACAGAGCATGTAGGATCTCTATTGGGAGGCTGAGGCAGAAGGATCATGAGTTCAAAGCCAGCCTGGTCTGTGTAGAAAGGGGAAAAAGTGGTTGTGTTCCGGGTTGTCTTCCTAATGTGCTTCTCTCCTTTCTCCCACGGCGGTGTCGGTAGGGCGTTTGAATTGGTGGGTCAGCGTGGATTCCATCTGTCAGAGGCTGCTCCCCTTAGCAACTACTGGAGATGGGAACTGCCTCCTGCATGCAGCCTCTCTTGGTGAGTCTTGAAAATGGCGCTGCCTCCCCTGCGGAAAGAAAGCAATTGAGTCACGTATCGTGTGTAGGATTTCATCTCTCCACACTTCATCTCAGGTGAAGTGATGGGTCACAGCAAGACTTAGGGAGATGGAGAGCCTTGACTTGGCTTACTGCCTGGAGAAATTGGAGAGCACTGGGTTAGGTTAGTTCAGCTCACTCGGAGCTGAGCCCTAGGAGCAGTCAGCAGAGGAAGCAAAGCTTGTGTGGCTGTGTGCATATGTGGTGGGAAATTACACTTAGCTGTCCTTCCAGTTGGTCTTTGTGGTGCTTGCTTTGAACTAGTGAGCCTACTCACAACTCCATACATTGGTTCTTAGCTTCAGAAGGGGTCGCCATTCTCTAGCCATTTCATGAGCTCTGGTACTGATGGCCGTGTGGTGCCAGACCAGTCTTACTAACTGTTGTAGTTTGGTTTGTTAGATTTGCTGAGGAGTGAGGGCTTCCTCTCAGGAATTCGGGGAATATACTAAATCCCCCATCCTTTTTTGAGGCCCCGGCTTTGATCCCTGTCACCACAAAACAAAGGCTGGCTTAGTAAGTGGAGCTGAATCAAGCTGAAGTGCCTGTTGCTTGCTCTCTCCCCGTAGGGATGTGGGGTTTCCACGACAGAGACCTGGTGCTGCGGAAAGCGCTGTACGCACTGATGGAGAAGGGTGTCGAGAAGGAGGCGCTGAGGAGGCGCTGGAGGTGGCAGCAGACACAGCAGAATAAAGAGGTGGGTGAGCTGAGGGCAAGCTTCGCCTTGCTTCCAGAGGCTCCTAGTGCTGAAGGCTGCATCTCCTGTGGACTCCTGAAAACCTCTGGACTGCAGCTCACGCTGCCTTCCGTCAGCTAAGACTGGAAATGGAGGCCTCTGTCTGCCACAGAAACCTGTGGTTTCTAACAGCCAGCCTGGTACAGAGGCTCAGGGGTTCTTAGTGGAGGGGGTTTGTTTTGTTTTATTGTTTTAGTGAGCTAGGACAGTTTCATAGGGTTTTTGTAGTTTGTTTTTATTATAAGGCTAGATCATTCATTCATTCATTGGGGGGGGGGGGGGTGCGTGCATTACTTCAGTGTGTGTCTGAGCGTCAGAGGACAGCTTGGAGGACCAGTGTGGGTTCCAGGGACCGAAACTCAGGTCATCAAGCTGGGTGGCAAGTGCCTTTATCTCTGAGCTCTCTCTCTCACCTTCCCTAGAGGAGTTTTGAGTCCCTCCCCTCCCCTCCCTTGTACTTCCCTTCTCACCTCCCCCTTCTTCTTCCCCTCCCCCTCTCCTCAGACAGGCTCGGACCCTGTAACCCAGGCTAACCTGGAACTCACTGCATGGTCCAGGCTGGCACTGAATTGGCAGCAATCCTTCTGCCTCAGCTCCCCAGTGCTGGGATGTGGGTGAATCCCTACTGCCAGTGTTCGTTCGTTCGTTCGTTCGTTCGTTCGTTCGTTCGTTCGTTCGTTCGTTCGTTCATTCATTCATTTATGACATGTACATGCCATGCCACACATGTGGAAGTCAGAGACAACTTGTGTGAAGCACTTTCTTCCACAGCGTGGGATCTGGAGAACGAGCAGGGTCAGGCTTGGTGGCAGGCACCTACTTGCCAACCATGTTTTTAGTTCTTGTGTAAATGCCTAAATGTTTTTAATATTCTACCACTTTGCTTTTCTTATACTTAGCTTTGGTTTGATTAAAAGATGTTAAAAAGATACGGGGCTGGAGAGATGGCTCAGAGGTTAAGAACACTGGTTGTTCTCCCAGAGGTCCTGAGTTCAATTCCCAGCAACCACATGGTGGCTCACAACCATCTGTAATGGGATCTGGTGCCCTCTTCTGACCTGCAGGTGTACATGCAGGCAGAATACTGTATACATAATAAAATAAATCTTTAATTAAAAAAAAAATGTAAAAAGATACTTGTTAAATTACATTTAAATATTACTTTAGGGGTTTGGCCGGTACTGTGATTGATTACTTTTATGTAAGAAAGTAATGATGGGTTTTTATGTTCCATCTCCACACCAGGAATTGGGAAATCTACAGCTGTTTTCTTAGTTTTGGTTGAAAAGTTTCACTGAAAGGCAGCCTTGCCTGTTTGGTATGTTGTGGTTGTAGCTGTTCTCCTGGTTCAGTCACAGAGTACAGAGTGACATGTGGTCCGCAGAGCCGATGTGTTTCCTGTGTGGTTCTCTCTAGAAGGAGTTGACTGGTTCTTCGCAGAATGACATTGTACATAAAGTGACAGGCTTCCTGTTTCCTGAGTTCTCTCTGTGTCTGCCATGTCAGTATGCCTTGATTTCACGTGTAGCCGGGTTTGGTTTTTTATTTTATGTATATATGTGTTTGCACATGTACATGTGCGTGACAACGCCTTTGCACGACAGGAGAAGGTGTTGGTCCTCCTGGAACCGGAGTTGCAGGCAGTAGTGAGCAGTAGTGAGCTGCCCAGTGTGGGTCCTGGGAACTGGACCTGATCCTCTCCAAGGACAGCAAGTGCTCTTAACTGCTGGGCCGACTGTGTAGTTCCCGGCTTTGGGTGTTTTGTTTTGTTTGGCCATACCTTGACTAGTTACTTCTGGTATTAGATATGGGAATATCTTTCAGAGGCTTTCTTGTCTTCTCCCATCCCCAGTTTTCATTGTTCCATTTTAACTAAAATACAGTTTTATGTCATTTTGGGGCTCAGTGTTTCCTGTTATAGCTCTTGCCACATAAGCATGAGCACCAAAGTTCAGATTCCAGAACTTATGAAAGCTGCACAGGTCTGGTGGTTTCCTGTAATCTCAGCTTGGGAGACAAGAGATGGGATCCTGGGCAGCTGGTGGGGGCAGCTAGATTTGCTGGGCTTGCCAAGCTGCAGGTTTGGTAAGATTCTGTCTCCACAATAAAGAAATCAATCAAGGAAGACACTTGACATCAACTTAAGGCCTCCATATAGGTGTATGCACATCCACACATACAAGTGTGCTCATACATACAAGTGGGTACACACACACACACACACACACACACACACACACACAACACACACACTGTGTTGTGTTTCTTTAAAGCACAGAACCCATTTGAAAGCCAGGTGTTTCAAGTAGGATGATGCAGAATGGTCTGAGGACTGGAGAAAACCTCAGTGGTTAGGAACATCTGCTGCTCTTACAGAGGATAGGAATTTGATTCCCATCTCCCATATCGGGTGGCTCACAACTACTTGTAACTCCAGCTCCAGAGGATCTGATGCCCTCTTCTGGCCTCCCCTGAGCTTAATCTAAGCTGGCCTAGAGTTTGGAATTCAAACCAGTTAGTAGTCAGCTCTGCCTCCGTTGCTGAGTATAGATCGTAGCAGAACTTCACCTTTGACTGTTCCATGAGCAGGAAAAGACCTCAGCAGAGATGGCAGCAGCTATTAAGTGGAAATGACAGCAAAAGTGAGTAAGTGTGCTCAGTTCTGATTGTTCAATCTATTTCAGTGACTTCAGAGACAGCTTAGATTCTGAAAGTGTCTACCCAGGAGGACCAGAAGTACCTAAGTTCTTTCCTGTGTTTCCTGCTCGTCCTTCTGGGCATGTGTACAGAGAGTAGGGGCTGGGGAAGGAGCAAGCCCTTACTCCTGTGGTTTGCACAATGAAAGTCTCATACTGGACATGAATCATACATGATTGTCTTGCTTGAACTTTGATGACCCCATCCCTTACCTTTGGAGCAGGAAGGAGACAAGGTGATGGCCTGAGATGCTTTGAGTTTTATGATACCAAACTCAAATTAAATTAGTTCTTAGTTCCTGGGCCTCCTTGTTTTGTGTTGAAATTGATGGTAAACTTGTTGGGAGTGTCTGCCACCTAGTGGTTGTATGTATTAAAACAGGAAACAGGGGGGCTGGAGAGGTAACTCAGCTTTTAAGTGTCCTTGTTCTTGTAGAGGCGCTCTGATGGCCCACAGCTGTCCATAATTCCAGTTCCAGGGGAACCAGTGCCCTCTTCTGACCTCATTGGGCACCAGCAAGCATTGGTGCACATACATACGTGCAGACAAAATACTCAACATGCGTAAAATAAAATTAATCTTAAAAAAAAAAAAAGCCAGGCAGTGTGGCACACACCTTTAATTTTAGTACTTGGGAGGCAGAGGCAGGCAGATCTCTGAGTTCAAGGCCAGCCTGGTCTATAGAGTGAGTTCCAGGCCAGCCAGGGCTCCACAGAGAAACCCTGTCCCAGAAAGCCCAAAGCACCAGGAATAGGTGGCGGGAGAGGAGGAATGAGAGGCAGGTCTCCTGGGCGTGTGTCAGAACAACACGAGCATTCCGTGGGTGACTTCTGCATTGTCCTTGTATTTTTACCCGAGGTCCGCGGTAGGTTTTACAAATGGCAAACTGCTTTGCCTTTTTATGGAAGTAAAGTATTCTCACAGTAGCTCATCACATCTGCCCTGGACTGCTGTGTTCCCGGTGTGATTGCTTCTGTTCTGTTAGCATGTAGTTGAGCAAGGAAGGAAGCTAAACAAAAAAATACTGATAAGATAAACTTACCTCTCAAATCCAATCATCACACGTCCTAAAGCCTTCCCCACCTGCCTCCCTTCCTCCCGCTCCCCAGTACAGGGTCTCAGTGAGCCTGGTCTGGCCTCCAACTTACTTCGTAGCTGAGGGTGACCTCAAGCTTTTCATGTTCTGCCTCCGCCTGAGTGCCAGGATTACCCGTGACTGTCGGAGGGCACCACCACACCCTGTTCATCTGATGCTGCAGGTCGGGAGCAGGGCTGCCTGCATGCTAGGCCAGCACTCGGCCACCTACGCTGCGTCCCCACGTCCACAGCCGTGTAGCCTATAGTTGTTTGGCTGATGTGGAGGTACCTCTGTCAGGAGGGTTACCGTGAGTCTAAGGCCAGACTGAGTTACCCATGAGACCTTGTCTCAGAAAGCAAGAAGACAAAGCAAATTATATGTATTACTCTACACAATCCTTTTAAAAAAATTTTTAACTTCGCTTAGCATGGATTTATGGATTATTGATCATGTGATAGGCACTGGGCCATGTTGCATTAAAACATGATTCTTTTCTTATAGAGCAATAGAATACAGTGGACCTTTAAAGATACAGTGCAAAACAGAGCAGGCGTGGTGTCTGTTTTCTTATGATTTTCAGTCTCACTAGTAGCCCTGGTGGGCCTGGCGCTCGCAGGGATCCGCCTGTCTCAGCCTCCTGCGTGCCGAGGTGTGCGCCATTACACCTGACTCAGCTATGGTGTCTGTACTGGAGTTCTGTAGAGCAGCTGAGGAAGAGTCCAAGGAAGGAGCACTGGCCTGCTGGGAGGTGTAAGGACACTCCTCAGAGGAGAGCTTTGCTGGAAAGTTGGGGGATTGTTTACCGGGTGCGGGGGAGTAGGAACAACTTAAGGCAGTGCCCATCAGGAGCAGCTCTGGGGAAGGGAAGCAGAGCAGGGGGCGGGGCCGGGGGTGTGGCCGGAGGTAGCCTTTGTGTACCATGGGTAGTGGAGGTTCCTAGAACGACGGTCATCAGGAAACAAAGCATCAGATTTTGATCATGGGGAGGGGGATACAGTAACCCAATAGGAAGGGGTCTGAAGAGTTCAGAGAGCCAGAGAGGTGCATTGCAGTCCGAACTTAGTAAGTCCTGACAGGCACTCAGGTGTGGGGCGGGAAAGGAGACCTCAGACAGCTCCCTGGGTTTTAGTCGGGGTGTTGGGTGGTAGTTAGTGCTGTTTGATAGGTAGGAATAGAGGAAGGGGAGTGAGTGTGTGAAGAGACAGGAGTTTACTTTTAAATTCTAAAATAGAGAATTTCAAGGTACTCTGGAGAGGTTGCAGTTTTTGGTAGACAGCTGGGTAGGTGAGCATAGAGATGGAAAGGAACTAGGGGCTTGAGAGGGTTGATGCTAGAGGCCTGAGCACACAAGTGGAGTAGATAGGACTATGGCCTGGGAAGAGGTCACCCAGAGGAAAGCAAGGCTCAGATAGTGGCCCAAACCCCAGTTTTGTGGTGAGGAGCGTTCAGAGAATAAGAGAAGGCAGTGGTGTGGAAACGGAAGTCGACCATTCAAAGAGGGAAATAACAAAGGCATGAAAAGGAGAGCCAGAGTCTACTGTCTGTCAGTTTAATCAGCCAGGTGAAGTCCCTGTGTGGATGGGGTAGTCGTCAGCCAGGTGAAGTCCCTGTGTGGATGGGGTAGTCGTCAGCCAGGTGAAGTCCTTGTGTGGATTATTAGAGGTGGCGGCATGTGCCTGTAATCCCAGCATTTGGGAGATAGATGCAGGAGGGCCAGAATTACAAGGCCAGCCTCAACACATAGCTAATTCAATGCCAATACATAAGATTCCGTCTCAGAAAGAAGCAAGATGGGGGGGCATGGTGACCAATGCCTCTAGTCCCAGCACTGCAGAGGCTGAGGCGGGCCAGCTGGGTCTACATAGGGAGTTCCAGGACACCCAGGGCTGTACAGTGAGACCTGTCTCAAAACCAAATAGCCAACCAGCCAACCAGCCAGCCAACCAACCAACCAACCAACCAACCAACCAACCAACCTATTTTATGGGTCTTGACTCTGAAAAAGAGAAGAAATTTGACTTAGTGTAAGCCAAGTGCTAAGAGAATGGAGTGGACGTAACCCTGGAAAGGTGGGGTGAGTGTCGCCTTTCCCTAACTCCGGTTGCCCCGGGTGTCTTCCATAGTCTGGACTGGTGTACACCGAGGACGAATGGCAGAAGGAGTGGAATGAACTGATCAAGCTTGCCTCAAGTGAACCCAGGATGCACCTAGGCACCAATGGAGCCACCGGTGGTGGGTAAGTGCGTCTCCGTGGGGAGCAGGGGTCGGCTTTGTGGTGTTCCTACTGAGTGAGCTCTCAGATCTCCAGCCCCAGGTCTAGAGGAGAGAGAAGCCATGGCGAGGGCCCAGAGGTGTGTGGCAGCACAGTGCATCTCTGGAAAGAAGGCAGTGCGGAGAGAGAGAGATGGGGCGGGCGGCCTCGTGCTTGCTGTGCTGAGGCAAGGGTCCACTGGCCCATGGGAAGGGTCAGCTTGTGTCCCGTGTGGACTTCGGAGAACATTAGGTGAGTGGCCCAGCTTCTAAAGTGAATACAAGGGAATGGAAAGGAACAAGAGACTCGGAACAAGGACACTCATAGAACAGCAGTTGGGGTGTTTGGGCATTGGTGAGAAGACGGGGAAAGTGAAGAGTGTCTACACGCTTTCATTTTAAATGGGACTTTGAAAAGTTATTGTGGCTGTTTGTTTTTGAAGGAGTCCTTTAAAATTTAGTTGGTGTGTGTGTGTGTGTGTGTGTGTGTGTGTGTGTCTTTGTGTCTGTGTGTCTGTGGACCTGCATGTGTGCTTGCACCTCTGTCTATGACATGTGTGCAGTGTCAGCAAAGGCCAGAAGAAGAAGTCAGAGTCCCTGGAAGTAGAGCCACAGATGGTTGCAAACTGCCATGTGGGTGCTGGGAATTAAACCCTGGTCCGCTGGAAGAGCAGTGACTGCTCTTGATTGCTGAGCTATCCTCCTGCCTCCAAAAGGAGTCCTTTTTGTACATAGAAACTGAAATATACAGATGAAATATATATGGTTTACTTCAAAATAATCCAGCAGAGTCGCGTCAGAACGGGAAGGACAAGGAATTAGATTGAGGTGTAGGTGAAATGAAATTGCCCGTGTATTCGGAACTGTTGAAGGTGGGTGATGGGTTCCTGTCGGTTTAGTGTGATATCCTTTCTTTTTCTGCTCTTGGGGACTGAATCCAGGGTCTTGAGCGTGCTAAGCATATCCTTTACTACTGAACTACATTCCTAATCCCCATTGTATTCCGGGTTGACTACTTAACATGCAGAGTTTTGAGCTTTTCTATCACAAGAAGTTCTAGTCGAGTTGGAATGAGATAAGGCTTGGGAATCTGAGGTTCTAACAGCCCCCCCTCCCCTGTTGACCCTTGTTGTTTGGAGATGAGGGAGGGCCATTGGAGTTTAAGTAGGAGATTCACGAGTGAAACTGTGCATATGAATACACCGATACCCAGGCAGATGATAAATCGAAGGGGAAGTTAGAGAGGTTTTAGAAACAGTCCAGGCCGGGACTGTGGGAGTCAACAGAATGGTGAGGAGATATGCAGGAGACACAAGAACCACATAGGGGACGGAGCTGATCCAGCCAGGGAGTAGCTGAAGCTAAGTAATAAAACGAACACATCTTACAAACTCTAGTTAAGCTGCTGAGTAGATAGATGGTGAGGCTGTTCTTTAAGAGAACAAGAAGAGGAATTTGGAGGTTTCCTTTTCTAAGACATACATGTTGTGTGGGTCAGGAAAGCAAGATGAAGCTGTGAGTTTGTGTGTTCGGCTCTTGGATAAAGAGGTGTGGGAGGTGAATATAAAGAGATGGAGATCCTCTCCAGATTGTTGACTCTTTATTATGTATGTGGGGGGGGGGGGACACAGGGAAATGTGAGTGCTCATCTTTGTCACAATGTAGAGTCAGAAGACAGTTACGAGGAGCCAGCCCTTCCCTTCCAGCTGCCACGGGAGTCCCGGACACTGAGTGGAGGTCACTGGGCGTGGTGGCAAGACCTTTACCACGTCACCGCCCTCCTTCAGATTTGTAACACCATTCCAACCCCATAGCTTTTTCTTGATTTCCTGATTGCTAAAGTGGGAGTCGAACCAGCCACGTAGCACAGACTGATCTGCAGGGCATTCTCTTCCCTGGCCATGTAGCTGGTCTCAGGACTCTTGTCTTATTTCCTTCTTCTCCTGCTGTGCCTCCTCCGTCCTCGTCTCCTGTGACTGTAGCGTGGAGAGCTCAGAGGAGCCCGTGTATGAGAGCCTCGAGGAGTTCCACGTCTTTGTCCTTGCTCACGTGCTCAAGAGGCCCATAGTGGTCGTGGCAGACACCATGCTGAGGGACTCTGGAGGGGAAGGTGAGTCAGCTGGCCAGCCCTGTGTGCAGAGACGGGCTGAACACAGCAGCAAGACGCAGAAGGAGATAGACAGAGTCTTGGGGTCGGGGGTTACATTAAAACAGTGGTAACTTCTCAAGAGATTCAAATGAAAGCTGTTGGGATTGATTGGCAGGGATGCTCAATTCAAAAATAGGATTGAGGGGCTGGAGAGATGGCCTGGCAGTTAAGGGTATGAACTGCTCTTGCCGGGGACCCAGGTTCAGTTCCCAGCACCCACATCGGGCAGTCAGTCACAGCTGTCTGTAACTCCAGCTCCAGGGGACCTGGCATTCACACATGGTGTGCATGCCCCCCCCCCCAAACTCACAAATACCTGTGACTAAAAATAGCAAACTCAATCTTAAAACGAGAAGTGGGGTAGAGAAACGGCGCTGTCCAAGGTCCGGCCTTAGCGTAACAACCTTGTGGTTCCTGCAGCCTTTGCCCCTATTCCATTTGGAGGGATCTACCTCCCACTGGAGGTCCCAGCCAGCCAGTGCCACCGGTCGCCTCTGGTGCTCGCCTATGATCAGGCCCACTTTTCTGCACTTGTGTCGATGGAGCAGAAGGACAGTGGCAAGGAGCAAGGTGAGGATCCAGAGTGTGCCTGCTTTTTGTTCTGTTATTTTTACTCAAAAGTGGAAATGATAGCTACGAAGGAGGAAAACAAAAGTCCAGACAGTGCCAGTTTTTGTTCTTGTTTTTTAAACCAAGCTGTACAATATCACCAAGAGTTTTTAGCCTTAAAAAGGGGTGGTTTGGTGGAAAAGGTGTGTCTGTCCCTATTCTGGAGCAAAGGTCTGTACTGAGGTACCAGCCTTCCAAGGGCTGCATGCTGCACCAGTCAGGGAAAGTAGGCTGGTTCACTGGCAGGAGTCCAGAGATTAATAGGCTAATTGTGTGCTGGGTGGTTAGGGGAAGGCCAGTGGTTTTTAATGTAATTCACTTCTAAGAGGTGAGGGTGGATGGACTAGTCAGTCGTGGGCCCGAGTATGAGTTCAGTGAGGTCAACGCCTGTTCAGTTGCCTCCTGCTCTTCTCAGGAAGACTTCCTGATGCTTGTTTTTCCCTCCCCAGCTGTGATCCCGCTCACAGATTCAGAACATAAGCTGCTGCCCCTGCACTTTGCCGTGGACCCAGGAAAGGGCTGGGAGTGGGGCAAAGATGACAACGACAATGTCCGGTTGGCCAGGTGAGGCCGGTTTCGCCTTCGGGATGCACTGTAGCTGGGATCTTTCCACGCCAGTGGCCGTGCCCCGTCCCCTCCTGGTTCAGCGGCAGGACAGTCACAGCCTTGGGCTGGCCTTACCGGGAAGGCAGGGAGGTGGAAGGCAGGCCGGGCATCAGGACACTGGGCTCTTGCAGCTGCTTTTGCTTTCTTCTTTTCTTAGAACAGTGCAAATGTTCCTGCCCAGTACATCCCAGAGTCCCCAAGGCACTGGTCAGAAAAGCAAGACAACCAAATCCCATTGATTCTAAGCCAGAATCAGAGGAGTTTAAACAAGTGGCCCGAACATTCTGCTCTTAAGTTTCATCTTCCTGGCATTTAGATAGCAAGGGAAATGCGATCTTTTCCACCTGCTTCTCAACGTTGCCTCCTTATAGTCTGGTAGGGTCTCCTCCCTTCTCCCTCCGTGCCTGCAGAGATGTGGGTGTAAACTCGGGTCCCTTACCTCTTGCCTTTGGGGCCTTTGCAACTTTGGGAGCTGCCTGAGAGGGTTTGATTTTAAAGTCTAGTAATTAAAAAGGTCCTTAGAGCTGGGCATGGTGGCCTACACCTCACCTAGCACTTGGGAGGTTGAGGCAGGGGAATCACTGCAAGTTCTGACTACATAGTGAGCCCCTTTCTTGAAAACCAAAAGAAAACCAAAAGCTCTCGTCCTCACCTGGTTGTCAGAATCTGCTAGATGGAGTCAGAGCAGTGATGATGGCCGCTGTCTGACCCCGGGCTCTGGGCACTGTGGAGGGAGTCCTTTCCTTTCCGGAGGACTGCTTACTTGCCTTGGAAGTACTAGCTGTTCCATTTCCCTCCTTTTCACAGCATAATTCTGTCCCTGGAGGTCAAGTTACATCTGCTGCACAGCTACATGAATGTGAAGTGGATCCCACTGTCATCTGATGCCCAGGTGAAGGCTGCTGCCACCACGGCCCTCTGTGTCCTCACTGTCAGCCACAGGAAGAGCGAGGGGAGAAGTCTGTGCTAGTGCGGTCTGACGACCACGACGGCAGAGCCTGGCTCCTCCTTCCTGTCCCCTGTGGCCACCTGTCTCTAGTCACACTCTGCTTTCTTCCTTCCTCTGCTTCGTTATTTGCCTCCCTGGGGACTGAACCCGGGACCTCCACGTGTTGGGATGTGCTTCACCACTGAGTGACACACCCAGCCCCGGACTGGGCTTTCTAATTCCAAACTGTGTTCCTTAAGAAACCCTTCTTCAGCCGGGCGTGGTGGCGCACGCCTTTAATCCCAGCACTCGGGAGGCAGAGCCAGGCGGATCTCTGTGAGTTCGAGGCCAGCCTGGGCTACCA